GGACTTCTTTTTTTTTTTTTTTTTTTTTTTGAGTTGGAGTCTCACTCTGTCGCCCAGACTGGAGTGCAGTGGCCGCTCCCGGCCACCGCAGCCTCGGCCTGCTGGGCTCCGGCGATCCTTCCACCTCAGCCTTCCGAGTAGCCGGAATTACAGGCATGCGCCACCATGCCCAGCTGATTTTTTTGATTTATTGTAGAGATGAGGTCTCGCTACCCAGGCGGGTCTCGAACCCGCGGGCTCAGGCAATTCACTCACCTCAGCCTCCCAAAGGCGCGGGATTACAGGCTGAGCCACCGAGCCCGGCTAGAAAATGGACTTCTATCGTCAAAGCTCTAAAGGAGCTTTAGATCTAAAAATGGCCTTTAGTCCTAATATTTTATAGCCAACTAAACACTTATTTATATAAATAAATGAGATATCCTGGACCATTTAATATCTCAAAAAACCAACTACACAAAGACTTCTTTGAAAGTACTCAGAGAAAATACTCTAATGCTTCTCTTACATGACTGAGAAATAGTTTGTGTTTTTCAAGTACTTAAGAAATATATTTCTACAATGAGGGTCAATAAAATAAATTAAAGTTCATGATTTCTAATTTCCTCAGCATTTGTTGACACTTCTTTTGTGGTCTTCAATACATGGTTGATTTTTTGTGACTGTTCCTCCTAAGTTCAAAAAGAAAGTGTATTCTAGGTTATCCTGGTGTGTGGTTCCATATATATATAAAACCTTAAGCTTTAAACTTCTTTATCATTGTTTAGCTTTTGCTCTAATTAGTACATCAGTTTTCGAGATATTTTTGTTATATATGTATCTGAGACAGATACATTCGTCCCTATAATTCTTCAGGTTGTTATTCAAAGTATTTCAGTGCTTTATTGTTAGGCATTAACGTATTCATGATGGTAATTAATTTTTCAACATTTTTTTTTTTGGAGTTGTGGGGTACATGTGATTATTTGCTACATAAGTAAATTGCATGCAGGTAAGATTTGGGCTTTCAGTGAGGCCTCTCTTCCTCAGTAACAGACATGGCACTCAATGGTTGGTTGTGTGCCTCTCATCCCCTGTTCCTCCCTCCCGTCATTAGCAGTGCCCAGCATCAGTTGTTCCTGCCTTTGTGCTCACATGCCCAATACTTAGGGCCCGTTTATCAGTAAGAACGTGCGGTATTCCGTTTCTTGTTTCTGTGATAGTACACTTAGAATGACAGTCTCAAGTTGCATCCACATTGCTGAAAGGGACATAATTTGTTGTTTTTTATGGCTGCATAGTATTCCTTAGTGTATGCATGTCAAATTTTTTTATCCAGTCTACTTCCAACAGGCACTAACCCACTTTTCTTTTGGGGTTTGTTCCATGTTTTTTGTTTTTTGAGTTGGAGTCTCACTCTGTGCCCAGGCTGGAGTGAAGTGGCACGCTCATGGTCACCGCAGCCTCAACCTGCTAGGCTCAGGTGATCCTTCCACCTCAGCCTTCCAAGTAGCCGGAATTACAGGCTTGCACCACCAAGCCTGGCTGATTTTTTGATTTATTGTAGAGATGAGGTCTCACCAAGTTGCCCAGGTGAGTCTCGAACCCGCGGGCTCAGGCAATTCACTCACCTCAACCTCCCAAGGCATGGGATTACAGGCTGAACCACCAAGCCTGGCTGATTTTTCTCTCATTCTGAGCCTGCACATAGGCAGTTAAACTTCTACTTCTGTCCCCTACATGTTTTAAGTGTTCATTTATTTTAAAAATTATATTTACTGTCTTTTGTTGGAGGAATCCACTCACCTCAGTCTCCCAAAGCACGGGATTACAGGCTGAGCCACCGAGCCCGGCTTGGCTAATTTTTTTTTAATTTATTGTAGAGATGAGACCTTGTCAAATTGCCGAGGCTGGTCTTGAATCTAACGGCTCAGGCAGTCCTCTCACTTCAGCCACCCAAAGTGTTGGAATTATAGGCGTGAGCTAGCGCGCCCAACCCAGTTCTATGTTTTTGCTGTTGTGAACAGTGCTGCAATGAACATATGTATGCAGGTATCTTTTTGGTAGAGCAATGTATGCTCCTCTGGGAATATTTCCAGAAGTGGGCTTACTAGATCATATGGTAGTTCAATTTTTAGTTCTTTGAGAAAATGTCACACTGCTTTTCACAAAAGTTACATTACCACCAACCGTACAAAAGCATTCCTTTTTCTCTGTAGCCTCGCCAACACCTGTTGGTTTTTGGCTTTTTAACGATAGCCATCCTGACTGGTGTTAGGTTATACCTCACTGTAGTTTGATCAGTGAAGCTGAGCCTTCTTTTTATATGTTTGTTGGCTGTTTGGATGTCTTCCTTTGAGAAGTGTCTGTTCATGTCCTTTGCCCAATTTTTAATGGAATTTTTTTTTCCTGTTGATTCATTTGAGTTCCTCGTAGATCCTGGATGTTATGCCTTTGTTGGATGTGTAGCTTGCACATTTTTTTCCCCATCCTGAGAGTTGTCTCTTTACTCTCTTGACAGTTTCTTTTGCTGCACAGAAACATTTTAGCTTGATAAGGTCTCAACTGTTAATTTTAGCTTTTGCTGCATTTGCTTTGGAAGACGTGACTCTGATGACCAGAAGGGTGTCCCCTAAGTTTTCCTCTAAGATTCTTTTTTCTTTTTCTTTTTTTGAGTTGGAGTCTCACTCTGTAGACCAGACTGGAGTGCAGTGGCCACTCCCAGCCACTGCAGCCTCAACCTGCTGGGCTCCGGCAATCCTTCTGCCTCAGCCTTCCAAGTAGCCGGAACTACAGGCATGAGCTACCACGCCCAGCTAATTTTTGATTTATTGTAGAGATGAGGTCTCACCAAGTTGCCCAGGTGGGTCTCGAACCCATGAGCTCAGGCAATCCACTCACCTCTTTTTCTTTTTTTTTAATTTTTACTTTTATTTTTATTTTTTGAGTTGGAGTCTCACTCTGTCACCAATCCTGGAGTATAGTGGCACAATCATGGCTCACCACAGCCTTGACCTCCTGGACTCAGGCAATCTTCCTACCTCAGTCTCCCAAGTAGCTGGGACTACAGGTGCGTGCCACTACACTAAGCAAATTTTTTTTTTGGTAGAGATGAGGGCTTGCTATGTTGCCCAGGTTAGTCTCAAACTCCTGGCCTCAAGTGATCCACCCAACTCAGACTCCCAAAGTAGCCATCCCTAAGAAACTCATAGTTTGAGATTTCACATTGAAGTCCCTAATCCATCTTGAGGTAATTTTTGTTTATCATGATAGGAAGGGATCCAGCTTCATTCTTCGGCATGTGGCTAGCCAGTTTTCCCAGGACCGTTTGCTAAATGTGGTTTCCTTTCCCCAATGTTTTTGTCAGCTTTGTCAAAGACGAGTTGGTTGAAGGTCCATGGTTTTATTTCCGAATTATCTGTCCTGTTCCATTGGTCTATGTGTCTATTTTTGTACCATGTTGTCTTGGTTACTGAAGCCTTCTAGTAAAGCTTGAGACCTGGAAGTGTGATGCCTCCAGTTTTGTTCTTTTTGCTGAGGATTGCTGTAGCTATTCAGGGTCTTTTTTGTTTCCATATAAATTTCTGTACTGTAATTTGATAGGGATTGCACTGAATCTGAAGATTGTCTTCAGTAGAATGAACATCTTGACAATACTGATTCTTCTAACCCAAGAGCATTGGATGTTCTTCCATTTGTTTGTGTCATCCTTGATTTCTTTGAGTGTTTTATATTTCTCTTTGCAACGGTCTTTCACCTCTTTGGTTTGGTGGATGCTAGGGGTATTTTTTTTGTGTGTGGTTATTGTGAATGGGACTGTGTTTTTTATTAGGTTCTCAGCCTGCTTGCTGTTGATGTATAGAAATGCAACTGTTTTTTGAGCACTGATTTTGTATCCTGTGACTTTACTGAAATTGTTTATCAGTGTGAAGAAGTATTTGACAGACTTTCTAGGGTATCCTAGATATAGAATCATATTATATGCAAAGAAGGATAATTTAGCTTCCTCTTTTCCTATTTGGATATCCCTAATTCCTTCTCCTGCCTGAATGCTCTGGCAGGCAGAACTTATAGTACTATGTTAAATAGGAGGGTGAGAATAAGCATCCTCATCTTGTTCCAGTTCCTACGGGGAATGCTTGCTGCTTCTACCCATTAAGTATGATGTTGGTTGCAGATATGTCATAGAGGACTCTTGTTATTTTAAAGAATGTTCCTTCAATTCCTAGGTATTTAAGGGTTTTTATCAAGAAAGGAGGCTGAATTTTATTGAATGCTTTTTCTGCATCTATTGAGATAATCATGTAGTTCTTGGTTTTACATCTTTTTATGTGATAGATTACACTTTTTATGTATGTTGAAGTAGTCTTGCATCCTGGGGATGAAGCCCACCTGTTCATGACGGATGATCCCTGAAATGTGCTGTTGGATGCGATTTGCCAGAATCTTCTTGAGAGTTTTTGCATCTATGTTCATCAGAAAAATTGGCCTGCAGTTTTCTTTCTTCATTGAGGCTTTGCCATTTGGGGGTATCAAGGTGATACTGGCTTCATAGAACAAGCCAGAGAGAATTCCCTACTTCTTGATTGCCTGCAATACTTTCAGTAGGATTGGTATTAGCTCTTCCTTGTACATCCTGGAGAATTCAGCTGAGAATAAGCGGACCTTGAACAATTATCATAATACAACAAGAAAGGGACTGGCAGTAGTGGGAAACTGCCAGGGGGAGGAGTGGGGGTGAGATTGGCAGTAGTGAGAAACTGCCAGGAGGTGTAGGGGGCCACACCTCATCAATAAGAGTACCTGCATAATGAACATCTGTATACCTAACCCTGAATTGTACCATTCATCTTTAAAATAAAGAAAAAAAATTTTTTAAAGAATTCAACTGAGAAACCATCTAGCCTATATTTTCTTTTTAACCACTATGTAACCCTATTTTTTCACTTACAATGTTTTGGGATTAAATTATATTCGGTATCCTTTTAAAACTCTTATCCCACTTTTCTTTTTGGTTAATACTTGCTCTTTCTATCTTTTCCTTTTTTTCTTTCTATTTCTAACATTAAACTTTAAAAAGCAAAGCAGCTTAAATATGATCTTAGTTGCAGACCTTCAACCTATGTTTACTAATAATCAGTGAGAAGAAATAAACCTTTATAGGGTAAATTAGAAGTCGCATTGCAGAAAGGTAAATTCTTACTATGCTACTTCCCTTTTATATGCAAAGCTTACTTCATTATTCTGGAAAAACGTATACTATTTATGTAATTCCATTTAAGAAAACATTTTGAACTAAGGTTCCAATGGTTCCTAAACCATATACAGTATCATCAAAACTACATCTTCATCCAGAGGGCCAGAAAGAAAAAGTGCCCAAAAGTCCCTGAACATCCTTTTCAAATTTCTAGCAAGCTAATTCACTGCAGTCTAAAACAAGCTGTATACCAGCTAGTCAACTTAGTACTACTAGAGTTACTGATCAAAGCAGTAAAAACTCAAAGATACACAAAAGTTACAAGGATTAGAAGATAAAAGATTAAAAGATTATTGTTTTCAAATGATATGACCACACAGAAAGCTCAAAGAGTATCAATAGACAAATAAGAATTAAAAGAACAGTATAATGCTGAGATATCAATATACAAAAACCAACAGTATTCCTCTAATCCATCAAAGTAAGAAATGAAAATATTCACTACAATAATCAAAAGCATAAATATATAGGAGCTAAATGAAGAAAAAAATGAATATGTACTTTTTTTTTTTTTTTTTTTTGAGTTGGAGTCTCACTCTGTCGCCCAGACTGGAGGGCAGTGGGTGCTCCCGGCCACCACAGCCTCGACCTGCTGGTCTCCGGCAATCCTTCCGCCTCAGCCTTCCAAGTAGCCAGAATTACAGGCATGCACTAACCACGCCTGGCTGATTTTTTGATTTATTGTAGAGATGAGGTCTCACTGCCCAGGCGGGTCTCGAACCCGCAGGCTCAGGCAATCCACTCACCTCAGCCTCCCAAAGGCGTGGGATCACAGGCTGAGCCACCAAGCCTGGCTCATATGTACTTTTTAAAGAAAATTTTAAAACAATATTAAAGGACAAAAAAAGATCTGAATAAGCAGAGAAAAATATTATATTAGGTGAAATGACTTAACATTGGCATGCTCATTCATCCCAAACTAAAATCATTGCTTAGCTGGTAGGCCAGGTCTGAAGACAAGGTTTCACCACATCATATAGCTACTACATTCTAGTCTTTGATCACACCAGGGGAATATTTCCCTGACCATGGAGCCTAAAAGACCTACAAGTCAAGGATCAGAGTTCCTTCTCCCTCTGACAAGTGGCCCTACTACATTTTCTACTAGAATGCAATACGCAACAGGGACCTGCTACTGCTCCCATCCCCAACAGTTTCCCCAATGAACATTGCTGTATCAAACCTTGAGTGACTGGCCATTTCACCCTTCTTGCAAGACAGACACATACATATAAATGAATACTAAATATATTAAGTCTCAAGGTAAATACTAATTTCACCTCTTAAATAATAGACATATAATTTAATGTATATTTAATATATTTTAATTCTAACCTGCAAGGATTTTAAGCGTTTAGTAAGAGGTAACTCATTTACTTCTAGAATAAACACGTCTACTGCCATATACAGCTTCTGTTGAATTTCATTTCTTTCAGCAATCAAAATATTCCCTTCATTCTGGAAGAAGAATAGCCATTATTAACACACCAGGTGTTTTCTGCACAATGACCTATATTTTTAAAATGTGATCTCTCAAATTTAACCTCATATTCTCAAAATACAGTCATATTTAGAACAAACACTTTCCTCCTTAGATAATAAAAATGACAAAGCACTTCCTTTCCCTTCATTAAAAATAAAATATTTAAGTTCAACAATCCTACTCTGTTAATTTTTTTGTTTTTTCCATTACTTCTGTAACAATTAAATTTTTTTTTCTTTTAGAAAATTATTCAAGTCCCTACAAATTACACTTATTCTCATTCCACTCTCAACTTCTTCATCTATAAAAACCAGGATACAATCTCCAATTTGCTCAAGATGCTGTATTTGGAAATGTTCATATATATGAATATATATATATGAAAAATATCTAAGAACCCTATGCATTAGCTCCATAATAGTACTTACCATACTGTATTAAAAGTATCTATTAATATATTCCCATTCTGTATCCAAGAGAGAGATAGATCATGTCATTAAAAAATGTGTATCTCCACCACCTATAACAGTGTCTGGCACATATACTTAAAAGCTTAAATTTTAGGCCAGGCATGGTGGCTCAAGCCTGTAATCCCAGCACTTTGGGAGGTAAGAGAATGGACTGAGCCCATGGGTTCGAGACCAGCCTGGGCAACTTGGTGAGGCCTGGGCAACTTGGTGAGACCTGATCTCTACAATAAATCAAAAAATTAGCTGGGTGTGGTACAGCGCACCTGTAGTTCCAGCTACTTGGAAGGCTGAGGCGAAGGATCTCCTGAGCCCAGCAGATCAACACTGGGATGGCCGTGAGTATGCCACTGCACTCCAGCCTGGGTGACGGAGTGAGACTCCGACTCAAAAAAAAACCTTAAATTTTAGAATATTTTTCCCTGCATAAGCTCAATCAGACTATTTTATAACTATAAATAAAAAGAAAGGAACCTTAAACAAAGCTCATTTTTTTCAACAAACACACAAAAAAATATCACAAGGCAACCAAGTTAGAAAACTTAATACATAACACATAAATCAAAGCTAACCTTTTTTTTTCTTAACTTGAGTCAGTGTTTCACTCTAGCCCAAGCTGGAGTGTAGTGGCAAAATCACAGCAACCACAGCCTCAAAACTCCTGGGCTCAGGCAATCCTTCTGCTTCAGTCTCCTGAGTAGCTGGGACTACAGGCACACATCACCATGCCCACCTAAAATTTTTTTTTTTTTTTTTTTTAACAGAGATGAGGTCTCACTATGTTGTCTAGGCTGGTCTTAAACTCCTGGGCTCAAGCAATCCTCTTGCTTCGGACTTCCAAAGTGCTGGAATTACAGGCGTGAGCCACCATGCCCAGCCATATCATACTTTTCTTATAAGGCAATAAATGAATCAGATTATTAATATGAAGATATTGCAGAAGTTAAAGATTTTATGCAAATAAACTATCATTACAATATCTGCAGTCTCTCCACTTTCTTGAATGATACTATTTCTCTATGTTCAGCAGATAAAAACTTCTCAACTTACCAAATCTTGACAAGTTTGAATTTGCTCCTGAGCCAGATCATATTCTGCCCAAATTATCTCTAATTCATTCAAAGAAGCTGGGATGGTAAAGCACCCTTCTTCCAATACTTGTATAGCATCTGAAAGGTCATTTCCAAAATGAACACTGATGCTGACACGCCTATTTAAAAATATGGCAAAAAAGGAAAAGATCAATATATTAGAAAGGAAGTGTGAGAAAGTCATACTTAAATAGTAATGGTCTAAAAGTTATTACTAACAGCACTGGCTATGAAGAGGTATTTTTAACCACTTTACATAAAATAATATATAACTTTAATATAAACTTTTAATTAAAACATTTGTGCACAGACTTCTAACTTCATGACATAAAAAAGATTTATAGAAAAAATAAATAATTTTTTAAATTGCAGAATTTAAAATGATATCAAATGAACCTTCAATTTCTGGTATACAATTAGATTTGTAAATACATATTTAAGCAAAAAGATGTATAAGGAAACCCATTAAACCACAAGCTAGCTGACTTATACAAGAGTTACATTCCTATGGCATATTTCTGGTCATAAAAACCCTACCAAACTTCTAAATAAATACCCAAAACATTTCTAAAGATTTAAAATACATGTGTGCTACATATACATTAAAGAAAGAGCAATAAAAACAAGTAAGTTCACAACCAGCCTGGGCAACATGGTGAGACCTCATCTCTTCAATAGAATCAAAAAATTAGCAGTGCGTGGTAGCGCATGCCTGTAGTTCCAGCTACTTGGAAAGCTGAGATGGAAAGATCGCTGAGCCCAGCAAGTCAAGGCTGCAGTGTAGCCGAGAACATGCCACTGCACTCTAGCTTGAGAGATAGAGTAAGATTCCAACTTTAAATAAATATGGGGAGTTCACTGAATGCATTTATACTGCATCATTTACCCTTATGCATTTGTATGACTGCTGTGTAACTTTAAATGCTTATTTAACAATAAATTCTATTCATTTATTTTCCAAACTCACTTATTTCATCAGAGTTGCAGGTAGCTAGAGACTATCCCAGTAGCTCAGGACAAAAGGTGGGAACCAACCCTAAACATGACGCCATTGCATCACAGGGCACATTCACACACACCAGAACGCACTCATAATAGGACAATTTAGAGACGCTAATTCACCTAATGTGCACATCTTTGGGATGTACACCAAGAAAATCCACAAAGACATAAAGAGAACATGCAAGCTCCACACAGACCGTGGCTCCAGCTGGGAATTAATGTTGTTTCTCATCGATGTTACAATGAAATGATGTTGAATGAAAGAATATTACTCAAAGACATGCTGTACTTCTAAAAACAACCCCAAGCCAAACAACTGGACATGGTAGGTTCCCATAAAACTACCACTTAAAAACTGTGTTAATTTTTTTTTTTTAATTTCACTCTCAGACATGACCTTAGGTTACTATAGCTCCAGTGAAAACAGAAAATAACAAATGCTATGAAATTCATCTTAGAAATAACTATCTTTAGTTTCTCATTTTAAAGTCAAAAAATATAAGATTAAATTACAAAGAAAAAATAGTAAGCTTATATATAATTTAAACAAAGCACCACTTAATTGGCAATTATTTTTAAGTAACCTTCTCAAAAAATATGCTTTTACCGCCGGGCTCGGTGGCTCAGCCTGTAATCCCGCGCCTTTGGGAGGCTGAGGTGAGCGGATTGCCTGAGCCCGTGGGTTCGAGACCCACCTGGGCAACGAGACCTCATCTCTACACTAAATCAAAAAATAAGCTGGGTGTGGTAGCACGCGCCTGTAATTCCGGCTACTTGGAAGGCTAACGTGGAAGGATCGCTGGAGCCTAGCAGGTCGAGGCTGTGGTGGCCAGGAGCGGCCACTGCACTTCAGTCTGGGCGACAGAGTGAGACTCCAACTCAAAAAAAAAAAAATATGCTTTTACCTACCTAGTTTCTTTCAATAGATCCATCCTAGCTGCCAGATTTTTCATTCTGGTACCTACATGAGCCTTCAGAGTGCTTTCTAAATGGTGAGTCAAATCCATGGAAGTTGCTTTCTCTTGCTGAAACAAAGAATATACACACATCCTAGTGAGACTCAAATAGGAAACTGCATTTCTACTATATGTTAAATGATCTGTTTAAGAATTTTAAGATATAAACAAAATTTTAAGATATAAAAACTATCAGGCAACAGGATAACACTGATTTCCTTACTAGCTGGGATCTGAAAAAGATAATCTGTTCCAGTTCTCTGCTTTCACACAGACTAGAGATTCTTATATTTCATCCTAATAAGAAGTCAAATAGAAATAAAATTTCATATATTATACCTCTTAAAACTTAGATTAAAAATAAATAAAAGATCACTATAAAAACCAAAGACTCTAAATGATTATCAGTGACAATCTGTTTTCTGATGAAGCTTAAATCATTTTGTATTACAATTGTCAAAAACATCATTTCTTTACCAAAGGTAAATTAAACTCTCTGATTCTGAATGGTATCTCAAATACGTGTCTATGTGATTATCCAAAATGAAGTATGGAGCAGTACTATAAAGACATGGCAATTTTATTCCAATTATACATCAACTACTACATAAACACATAACTTTAACTTAGTATTTAAACATGCTCTTCAAACCGGCCTCGGTGGCTCAGCCTGTAATCCCACGCCTTTGAGAAGCTGAGGTGAGTGGATTGCCTGAGCCCACGGGTTCGAGACCCACCTGGGCAGCGAGACTTCATCTCTACAATAAATCAAAAAATCAGCCAGGCGTGGTAGCGCATGCCTGTAATTCCGGCTACTCGGAAGGCTGAGGCGGAAGGATCGCCGGAGCCCAGCAGGCGAGGCTGCGGTGGCAGGGAGCGGCCACTGCACTCCAGTCTGGGCGACCGAGTGAGACTCCAACTCAAAAAAAAACAAAAACAAAAACAAAACATGCTCTTCAGTCCTCACATTCTCTCTGATCAGTAAAACAGAGAAAGAGGACCACAAGACAGTAAATGCTTATTAATGGTAGGCTCGTGGCTAAGCCTGTAATCCTGCGCCTTGGGAGGCTGAGATGAATGGATTGCCTGAGCCCACGGGTTGGAGACCTGCCTGGGCAACTTGGCGAGACCTAATCTCTACAATAAATCAAAAATTAGCCGGGCGTGGTAGTGGGCACCTGTAGTTCCAGCTACTTGGAAGGCTGAGGCGGAAGGATCACCGGAGCCCAGCAGGTCGAGGCTGTAGTGGCCGGGAGCGTGCCACTGCACTCCACTCTGGGTGACAGAGTGAGACTACAACTTAAAAAAAAAAAAATGGTAGGCTACACTCAGGTATGTTCATGCCCTTTGTTCCCACTTGCAGAGTAGGCTAATCATGAAGAATTAGTTATGTTTGTTCCTAAGTCTGTATATATCCACTATACTTGTTATAACAATTGCTCAAAATATAAGTAACAGGAATAGAAAGATAAATTTCTGAATCTTTGAAAACTGAGCTTAATATTTTGCTAAGATTTCATAAAAGCAAAATTTTTATAGAAATTGTCAATTAAGTACATGTGAATGAGAACTATAAAATACTGAGGAAAAGAATCATTTAAATCTAAATGAATTATGTTTCTCAAATGTCAAATTTATTCATCTGCTTGTAAAAAAACTGGAAATCAGATAATGAATAATGAAAACAGTGTGTAAAACAAAGAATAAATAAAATAAAAAACATGGCAGACATAAACCCAAGCACATCAATAATTACATTAAATGAAAATGAGCTAAACAATCAAATGAAAAGAAATGACATTATCAATCTATATGAAAAAGGCTAGACTCAACTGCATCCTACTTATAAGAAACATATTAAATATAAAGAGACAACTAAAAGTTACAGGATAAAAAAAGGCCAGGCTCAGTGGCTTAGCCTGTAATTCTAGCACTTTGGGAGGCCGAGGCAAGTGGACTGCCTGAGTCCATGGGTTCAAGACCAGCCCGGGCAACTTGGCAAGACCTCATCTCTACAATAAAATAAAAAATAGCCAGGCATGGTAGCATGCATCTGTAGTTCCAGGTACTCGGAAGGCTGAGGTGGAAGGATCACTGGAGCCCAGAAGGTTGACAATGGGGTGGCTGTGAGTGTGCGTGCCACTGCCCTCTAGTCTAGGTGAAGGAGTGAGACTCCAATTCAAAAAAAAAAGATATACCATGAAAATATGGCTATATTAACATCGGGCAACATGGATATCAGGATAGGAAGTATTCCAAGCAACAAAGGAGGGACACTTCATAAAGACAAACGGGTCGATTCATCAAAAAGACTCAACAATTCTAAACATGTATGTGCATAATAACAGGGCTTTAAGAAAAATCACAAAAACCTATTGATAGAGCAAAAAAGAAAAACTGACAAAACCACAATAATATTCAGAGATTTCAACATTTTTCTTTTTGTTTATTTTATTTTAAAGTTATGGAGTATAAGTCAGGATTGGGTACATAAGTGGTTTAGGTACAGGTGAAGCTTTGGGCTTTCCATTGGCCCTCACTTCACTTAGGATCAGGCATCCTTATTAATGTTATGTGCCCTCCCCCCTCCGCTGGCAGTGTACCACTACTGCCAATCCCATTTTTGTGGTATTATGATCGGTAGATTTCAACACTTCTTTCTCGGTATCTAATCGAACAATCTGAGAATCTGTCAAAATCTAAAAGATCTGGAAAGCACAATCAACAAATTTCAGTCTAATAATTATAAAATACTCCATCAACAATAACTGTAGAATGCACATAATTTTTAAGAATACATGAAACATTTCCAAAGACAGACCACATGCTGAGTAATAAAACATCTCAAAAAGCCGGGCTCTGTGGCTCAGCCTATAATCCCGTGCCTTTGGGAGGCTGAGGTGAGTGGATTGCCTGAGCCTGCGGGTTCGAGACCCGCCTGGACGGCGAGACCTCATCTCTACAATAAATCAAAAAATCAGCCGGGCGTGGTAGCGCATGCCTGTAATTCCGGCTACTCAGAAGGCTGAGGCGGAAGGATCGCCAGAGCCCAGCAGGTCAAGGCTGCGGTGGCCGGGAGCGGCCACTACACTCCAGTCTGGGCGACAGAGTGAGACTCCAACTCAAACAAAAACAAAAAACAAAAACAAAAAAAAATCTCAAAAAATGTAAAAGGACTGAAACCATATAAAGTATGCTCTCTGATATCAAGAAATTAAATTAGAAATAAGCAACAAAAACATATTGGGGGTACTACCATGTTTATTGCAGCACTACTGACAACAGCAAAGATATGGAATCAACCTAAGTATCCATCAATGGATGAATGAATAAAGAAGATGTGGTATATACACACAACGGAATACTATTTTGACATAAAAAAGAATGAAATTCTGTCATTTACAGCAACATGGATAGAACTAGAGGCCATCATGCTATGTAAAATAAGCCAGGAACAGAAAGATAAGTATCTTACATTCTTGCACATATGTGGGAGCTAAAAGAGTTGATCTCGTGGAGGTAGAGAGTAGAATGACAGACACCAGAGGCAAGGAAGAGTGTGTGTTGAGGATGGAAGAATAAAGAGAGGTTGGTTTAATGGGTACAAATACAGTTAGACAGAAGGAATATTTTCTAATTGTTGATAGAAGAGTAGGACGACTATAGTTAACAACAATATATTGTATATTTCAAAATAGCTAGAAGAGAGGTCTTGAAATATTCCCAACACATAGAAGTGATAAATGCTCAAGGTGATGGATATCCTAAATACCCTGACTTAATCACTACACATTCTAAGCATGTATTAAAATATCACACATGCCCCATAAATGAGTACAAATATTATGTACCTCAAAAAAATAAAACATATATGGAGGGAAAATTTTCAAATATGTAGAAATTAAACAACACACTTCTAAACAGCTCATGGTTCAGAAAATCTTTCTTGCAACAAATGTTAAAATACATTCTTTAAAGAGAAGAAAAATAATATAGGTCAGAATCTCATATCCACATTAAAAAAATGAAAAGCATCCAAGAAAGAATAAGTGAAGGTAAAATTAAAACTTTTATTTTTCCTATTCTCAGCTGATCTAAGAGAGAACAAAGAGTCTGTTCAAAAATAACAGTAACAATTATTTGATTATATATGTGCTTATGTATGTATACATAAGTGAAATGAAAGATGATACAAGGGACAGGAAGGAAGAATCAGGATGACAATCTTATAAGGTGCCCATGCTATACATGAAGTGGTATAGTGTTACTTGGAAGTGGGCTTGAACTAGTTTTAAATGTTAGTTGTAAGTGTATATTGCAAATTCTAGGGCAACAATTAATAAAACTTTTTTTTAAAAGTATAATTAATATGCTAAGAATGTAAATGCTGACTTAAACCACAAAAGGTAGGAAAAAGTACAACACAAAAATAAGAACACAGAACAGGAGCAACAGATAGAAAACAGTAACAAATATGGTAGATCTTAACCCAACTACCTCAATAATCACTTTAAAAGTCACTGATCTAAATGCGCCCCTTAAAAGACAGAGATTGCAAGACTCAAATATATATTGTCTATCAGAAATCTACTTTAAATATAAGGACACATATAAAAGTAAATGAAGAAAAATATACCATGTTAACACTAAGGAAAGGGAAGCAGATTAGTATACCTACTGAACACTAGTAGCTATACTAATTTCAGACAGAGTAGAATTCAAAACAAAAAGTTTTCAGGTATAAAAAGGGACATTACACAATGATAAAGAGGCCATTTCTATGTATATGCCTAATAACAGAATCAAAAACATCAAAAACTAATAGAACTACAATGAGGAATAGTTAAATCCACTATTATAGTTGGAGATTTCAATACCCCTCTATAAGAAATGGACAAATCTAGAGCAGAAAATCAGTAAACATACATGTGAACTCAACAACAACAACAAACTGAATAACTGACATTTATTTATAGACTACAGTTGACCCTTGAACAAAGTGAGGGTTAGAGCACCAATCCCCAGACAGTCAAAAATCTATGAATAACTTTTGACTCCTTGAAAACTTA